TCAAATGAAATGCAATCTTAAGGCACAATGCAATGTTCTAGCACCAGTCTACTCAAAATATGCAGTGTTGCTACAGAGACAGTGCTACTGTAGATACATTGTGCTTGCGTACAATCTCTGTGAAAGTCTTGGTTTGGTAATGAACTGTAGTGTTCTAACACTGCACACTGGACATCTTCATAAAATATTATAGCCTAAGTGTCTGCACTTAAAGAAACATCTTGCATGCACTGTAAATCAGTAAGCTATAAATGCCACAGTCACAAACTCTTAAAAAAAAAAGACTATTAACAGGGTTATTTGGGAGTAGTTGGGTCAGTTCCATGTTCATGACTCTTAAGCGGAGTAGTACATCTCTAGCTCATGCCAGAAAAGCCACACTGTGAATCCAGGTCAGGAGTGATTCATTGGGCAACAACAAGAAATGGTAGTGTTCTAGGAGACCCAGCATGGGTCAGGGTGAAACAACTTGACACCATTCACTAGGAAGCTAATGAACGGTAACCTAGGATTTTTAACTCTGTATGTATAGTGAAGGGAATAATCATTAATGATAGATACAATGTCATTTAACTTATAAAGGTAGCATTGCTGTGTGGTTTCTAAAATGTTACAATTATTTTAGTGCTATGCAGTTTCTATTATGTTGGGTGGGTGGGTGCTTGCAAGCCCAAGGAAAGAAGTCCTGGGCAACTATCAAAGTACCTCGATCAAAGGCACAACAGTCATGGCTTTTACCTTGTGGAATTGAATCAACCTTCTGGTTACCGTTGCCCTCAACCACTATGCAACACTATCCTAAAAACGAGAGAGTGAGAGAGTGTGTGTGTGAGAGAGCGAGAGAGAGAGAGAGAGAGAGAACTGTAATTTACTCTTTGCAAACATTAAAGGGGTCATATGATGCGATTTCAATTTTTCCTTTCTCTTTGGAGTGTTACAAGCTCTTGGTGCTACACCAAATAACGTTCTTTTTAGCAGCATCATATGACCCCTTTAATACTTTAATTTACTGTCTGAATATGTATGGTTATTCAATAAAGTCATTGCCCCATTTGTAATCAAGCCACCAAATGATGTAACTTCAAGAGAACTGTAGAGCAATGAGTGAATTTTCTTTAGTTTAGACCTTTCAAAAAGTCAATAAATCCCTCCTGCCCTACCCAAGCCAACTCAGCTCAGGCTGCAGAAAGATAACAAGGTCGATATGACCATCCCAGAGGGACATATCAATAACTTCCATTCCGAAATCTCGGATGAGGCCGTCCACATCAGCTGACCCACATTTTACACATGAACAAGCAGCTAGGACTCATAAACATGCTCATTAAAATGAATAAGACTAAGACATTTGAAATCTGATCCTGGAGAAAAGAGATTCCCAGTTCAAATATACATACGATATAGATGTTTGTTTTAAGAGGGGAGAGAAAGGGGCACCAAAGTGTGGAGACAATGCAGTGATTTGATTTGTCCTTGTGTTGACTGATGCAAATAAGGCTCGCTCACACACACACACAGTCACGAACAACCTGATGACGCATACAAATGTCACCTCCAATATACTAAATATAAGAGCTCATGGATTATCAAAAACCAGCACTCTTTATATGACAGCATGAATGCATTAATGTTTATTATTTATGTTTCAGTCTGAACACCGGAAATAATCTTTGTTAAAATGTTTTAAATATTGACATCCATGACATGAAAACTCATAACTCCCCAGGCTACGAAAAAAAACACCAGATGAAACCTGTTCAGTCCTCTTTAGGATGAATAAATGGAAGAATCTGTAATTGCTTTATAAAAATCACATCTCTGGGAAAAAAAGACATTTTTAAAAGATAAAGAATTAATGACCTTTATGAAGTTTCAAGAAAGAAACAGAGTAAAAACAATAGAATTTGTGTTTATACACAAAAAATATTACAGTAAAAAGTTCACAAGTAATTTACACAAGTCTCTTAATAACACAAACATACATGCATGTGTCGCACTTTCTCACACACTCACAAGAAAGTGTTCTTAGTCCTTCTTTGTAATCTTTTGGTCTTTCAGGCCTGCAGGTCTGTAATTTTCCTCTTTCTGTAGTTGATAACTAGACTAGAGGCAGTGAGGTGAGAGGACCGGCCCTTTTCCCACAGTTGGAAACTGTTTAGTCCACTCTGGCCTGCCTTAAACAAGCTCCTCTCTAAGCAGTCCAAGCGTTCCACCAGCGCTGATGTGTCTTCATTGTAGGCGTTCTGGGACGAGTCCATGGTCCGACGGAAACGACAGATGAAGGTCTGATAAGAGAGATGGGGACAGTATATAGATTTTATGGAGGCATACATAGGATACAGGGACAGTTGCAAAATAATTCTCTAGTTTTTTTTATTAGTTAAAACAAGCATTCAAGTCTGAAGAGCTGCGAAATAGAACTCCTAAATTTGAATAAAAATGGCAGTAGAAGTGATCAAAATAAGTAGACTTCATGACTAAAACTAAAACACTAAAAAACATTTTGTATTTGCAATTTTATAGACATAATAGAAGAATTCAGCCATATTCTTGCTCAAAGTTCAAAGCTGCTTGTTGTATTGTAATAATCAATATATAGTACTAGCCATAATAACTATGCAGCAGACTTTTAAAGCCCTAAATTATGCCCTGAATTTTCTCTGAACTTAACATGGAGCTTTAATGGTGTTCACTGATGGAGCACTGCAGAACTGTACGTCCTATTCAACCTGGCACATCAGTCTGCCCAGCAACTGGTCAGTACTAGTAATGATTTTAAACGTACTGCTCCCTCTACTGGTTGAGGTAAGAAACAGCAGATGTATTATTACACATGCCTGTTATTTAAAGGGGTCATATGATGCTATTTTAAAGATCATTATTTTGTGTGTTTGGTGTAATAGAATATGTTAACATGCTTTAATGTTCAAAAAACACATTATTTTTCAAATACTGTACATTATTGTAGGTCCTCTATGCCCCGCCTCTCTCAAACACGTCGTTTTCAACAAAGC